TTTGATGATCTGAAACATTTCAGTGTGACAAACATGCAAAAAAATAAGAAATCAGGAAGGGGGCAAACACTTTTTCACACCACTGTATGTGCAATCAGTATATACATGGTTGTCTTGTGATACACACACATACTGATATTTACACAAAATTACACACATGTACAGTATTCTCCTCTGATTAGCCATACATGCACAATAACAATGACAATGTCCTGTGTCTGAACCAAGGTGCACTGTTTCACTGAGGTTAACCTGTTTGTGGATGGCACAGACCTGCTCCAGGGCATAGGCTGAATTGATGACACTGCTGCTGCTGCTGCTGCTGGCACTGGCTGAGGAGTCTGCGGAGCTACCAGAGGGTGTGCCCGTGCCTGAACTCTTCACAGTCAAGGTTTGCTCATCTGAGAAACCCAGCTGGTTAAGCAGCTTCTGGTCTTTGTTCATCGTCAGCTGGGCAAGCAGAGTGGAAAATGGTACATGACAATTAATGAGAAATATTATTTTGTATAAAGCCTTTCTCCAAGGTTCTTCCCTAGGTCCAATCCATAAAGGCTCTGCAAAGAAGGTGGACACAGTTAAGACCAGTAAAAGGTAGACCAATCTCATACACGGTAGATAATCTAGATAATCTAGAAATAAGCAGAAATCAATGTAACTTGGGACAAGTAAAACTGTCCTCTTGAAGAAGGATGAAGTAATAAAGCCAAACTTATCTGGACTAACACATGCTCAAATGCATAGACAAAACTGTCACACAATGTATACCAGTGGAAATTCCTATTGTTTGAACTCCTTGGTCTTGGTATCTAAATTCAAGAAAAACAGCAAAATGTGAAAAATGTACAACACAAAAACAATGCAGGGTAAACAAAATAATGCAATAACAGAACTGCTCTATATAAATACTCTTTTAACCTTTTTTGATCTCACCAGTTTTTCATTTTTAACTACTTATTTATGTTTTTCTTTCCTTTTGTTCTCGGTGACACTGATTTCTAATTTATCTATTTTCATCCGCTTCACTTTATCCGCTCCATGTTACAAATTTTCTTCAATCTGGAATTACCTGTTTCTAACACCCCCCCACACTCTGTAAATTTCCGCAACTGGCGATCAATTGATCACCCAAGGTTGGCAAATTCTGTTCTGTCCTCCTTATCCTGTTTCTCTTCCTCTGACCCTCTAGAGGACAAAATACAGTTACTTGACAGTGCTCTTTTATCTACCCTTGAGACCTTTGCTCCTTTAAAAACTTGAACCATCTCTTTCTCTCACCCTGCCCCCTGGTACAATGACCATCTGCGATCTATGAAGGCAGCCTTTCGCAAACTTGAGCGTAGGTGGCCTCTTTCCGGCCTAAATGTACATTATCAGGCTTGGAGAGATTACTTATCTGAATATAAGGTTACTATAGAATCTGCTAGATCCACCTACTTCTCTCACATCATTGAAAATCACCAAAACAACCCCATACATCTTTTCTCCACCATCAATAGACTGCCCAAGCCAAACTGCCCTACCAAATTACCTGCCTCATCACAACTATGCAACACATTCTTAGTTTTCTTTAGTTTTAAGATTGACAACATCCGGCATCACATTCTCTCCACTACGCACATCATTTCCATACCTCCTCCCTCCTCATCCAACTTCTCTGGTTCCCTTCTCTCCAGCTTCTCTCTTCTTGACTCAGCATCCCTCAACAAACTAGTTACACACATGAAACCCACCATATCTATTTTAGATCCCATTCCCACCACTTTATTCCAGTCCTGTTTCTCTTCTCTCTGTCCCATTGTCCTCAATATTATACATGAATCCATGAGCACTGGCATTGTACCAACGGTCCTCAAAACTGCTGCCAAACCCCCGTGCCAAAAAAGCCTAACATGGCTCTCGACAATCTTAATTTTCACCCCATCTCCAACTTACCCTTTCTTTCTAAAATTCTAGAACGTGCTGTCACACTTCAGTTACATAACCACCTCATGACAAACAACCTTTTCGAACCCCTCCAATCTGGCTTCCGTCAACTTCACAGCACAGAAACTGCCCAGGTCAAAGTCACCAACGATCTTCTAATAGCTTCTGATTCTGGTGCTCTTTTTATACTCATCCTTCTTGATCTTAGTGCTGCTTTTGACACTGTTGACCATAAGATCTTACTTTCTCGTCTTGAGACTGTGTTTGGAGTTTCTGACACTGCCCTCAAATGGTTCAAATCTTACCTCACTGATCGCTGTCACTTTGTCTCTCTCAATGGGTACAGGTCTGAAATTGGTCTTGTTAAGTCTGGTGTTCCTCCGGGCTCAATACTGGGCCTTCTCCTGTTATGCCCCCAAGCTCTGGAACTCTTCACCCAAATTCACCTTCTCTAAACTCCTTCAAATCCAGACTCAAAACCCTCTTCTTCAGAAAAGCCTTTACTTAACTAGTGCCATTCTTCACCCTTCTGTTCTTCTTAGTACCACCATCCACGGTCTCCTCTATCGTAATTGTTGTATTGTTTAATTGGATATTATAATTGTGTCTTATCTTGTGTATTCTTCTTATTTAATCTTGTATTGTTCTTATTAATTGTTATTGTCATCCTGTAAAGCGCTTTGAAAAGCCACCTTTAAAAAGCGCTATGTAAAATAAAGATGATGATGATGATTATTATTATTATTATATTACAGTTGTAAGCAAATGTTTGGGCACCCCGGGTCAAATTGCATGTTTCATAAACTCTCTAAGTGAAAAGAACCTCTGCAGGGTGCAAACCTAAACATGACACATTTCTGCACATTTTAATGTACAACTACTATTTGGTACAACTTATACTGTTTAATATTGTTTTTCAATCTGTCACATTTAGCAAATAAATAGTAATTGTACATTAAAATGTGCAGAAATGTCATGTTTAAGTCTGTACCCTGAAGAGCCTGTGTTAACGACTTTTCATTTAGAGATTCAGTGAACCAAAACTTTTGTATATAGCTGTATAACTATTTTGTAAAGTAGTTTGAAATGAAACTTTGACAACACTTAACTTTTAATTGTTAATGTACCAAAAAGGTTTAAAATTACTCACCATGCTGTCATTAGCAAATATCTGCACATTATCCACAGGACAACTTAACTGCTCAGCAATCTTCCATCTTATGCTTCCAATGGTTTCATTGCTGTGTGCCTACAATGCATAAAATGGATTTAAAAAATACGAAACATTCACAGTATAAAAATCTGAAAGATCATGAAAACATCTACATGACAAATAAAGTATAATTAATTTCATACTCTACCAGAAGAGTTTGTCTAAATACAAAAGGCTAATTTCTTTAGCAAAATAAGGGTAACATACTGACTGTTTATAGCATATGTACTGTCCGTCTGTTAGAGCTGTACAAGGACATACCTCCAGTGTGAAAGTATCTTTGGTCGACTCGTAGGTGATGCTGAGGGTGACTGGGTGCCCATGAAAGGAGGCGCCATGAGGTAGGATAGTCCGAGGAACTGAATACAAATCCTTAAAGGTAGGGATAGGGAAGGTGAAAATATTTGTTCTTAACTTTGAATTGCTAATTATTTTCTACTACCCAGCCCTAATCTGAAATGGTGTGATTATTATGCTATGAACACTGCAACCTCACAGGGAAGACTGAGGAAGCGTAGGCAGATTCCTCCAACCCAGCACCTTCAAACCAGTAGTCCTTCAACACATTACAGGGAACAGCCTTAAAGGAGGATCAGCACCATTCAGATGAGAGGAGTGTCCCTCTCTGACTACACTGCATGCTTGCAACTGCCTGCAGCACATGAAGAGAGTTCCCTGCCATGTAATACCAAACCTTCCCTTGGCAGCACACAACTAGTTTATTGTAGCTAGTTAGGAAAGACCAGGAAAAAACAGGACACACTCAACCTTATTAGAGCCCTTGAGTAACAAATTACTTTTATTTTTTAATTACTTTTTATTATGTGCAAAACTTCAGTAACACAAAAAATCTCTCTAAAGGTGAAATCAAAAGTGATCATTTCCATACCAAACTCTACATAATTTACAACACACATTTAACAGACTAAGAAAAGTAACTCATAAATAGGTCTATAACAAATAAATACTATGCAAAAAGATTTCTTACCTCTATAGTGATTACATAACGTTCTGCAAGTAACAGTAATCGTTCAATTATTACAAGTTTGGTTGACCTAAATGGAAGAAAATACAGATTAAATCAAACGATTTTCAAAAAGAATGTTTCTCACAAAGAGTGCTGTTCCTTCAATAAAATTTCAATAATTTGGTAACCTCTCACAAACCATCTCGTATATGGTGCATAACTTAATAATTTATTTTTTACTATTATTTTTAAACACAATGACAAAAAAAGATTCTCTCACACCATAATATAACATCCTTTATCTAACACAAAACACAACTACTTTACTGATTATATTATAACGTATACAGCAGCGGCGAGGGCACATACCCACGTGAACCCGAGTGCGCAACATTGGTGTCAGAAGCGGGGTGGGGTAGCCCTTCGCCGAGGACGGTGAATTAAGCGGAGGAGTGTGTAACGAATACGGCCACCATCGGAGGTAGTTCGAGCCGCCTTACCAGCACGGTGACGTCACCGCCCTTCCTTGTGAATAGCAGGAACCGCAGCCATCGGGCTGAGGGGAGATTTCCCTTTAGCTCAACTGGCTGGGTCCCTGTTGAGTGATGCTGGAGGCCCGGGTTAGAGTCCCCATCGGTGGGGGGGCTGACCTGAGGCGGCAGCGGTGAGGGCGCATACCCACGTGAACCCAAGATACTGACACCAGATGCAGAACCACATACTGAATATACAATTAATACAATTTATATCTTATTCTACAAATCAGTAAATCTTTTAAAAGACACTGCAACGTACCTGGACGGAGACTGCACAGAAGTAGCTACAGTTGGCATGGCAGTAGCTGTCAGCATCTTTGTTGCCCTGGTAACAGCATGTGTTAGAGTGGGACCTCCAAGGGCTGAACTTGCAGCCTACAAGTACAATAAATCAGAAGTTATAGTAAAAACAAGCAAAATATCTGAGGATAATGTGCAGTACATAATGATAATAATAATAATAATAATAATAAAAACAATCTCTCACCTCTAATCTTTTATAACAGTCTGCAATGAATTTCTTGTGCAATGACACTGAATCCTATGATTAAAAAAGCAAAGAAAACTGTGGAGTTAAAAAGCAAACTGTGCAGCATTGTATATATAGGTAACTAAAATGGCAGTAGGATGGACGGGAAGCAAGAACAGATCACTGCTAGAACAAGAAAAGAAAAAATAAGCAAAAGGACCACCCATAACATGGGAAGAAGAAATCAGTATGCCTCCGGGAACATGTTGAACTCCAATAAATGAATACATTCAACTGGCACTACTCATTACAGGAAGAAGACAATGAAAATGGTGTATACACATACTGCAGATTCAACACTTTAATGTGTTTTACCTTTTTCATTTTGGGATTGAGGTTTATGTAGCTGTAGGTAATGATTAGCTGAATAGCTTCATTTGCAATTTCTTCATCTGGAGACTCCATGGCTATCCTCCAGATAAAATCCATTCCCGTCAAATCTAGCCTCTCCACCAACTGATCAATAAAATCCAGAAAAGAAAAAAAAAGCCCATTAAAATGACTATTTCACAATGAACAACTAAACATCTGAGCCTTAAAAAAAACTCAAGGAAAAAACTAGATTGCATCTCTTTCTATTTGATCTAGAAAATTGGTTTAAAGTCAAACATTAAATTCGATTACCCAATGGGTCATGCACCAATACAATTTAAATGTTTTTCAGAAATAACCAATAAATGTCCAGAAAATGGCTCACCCACCCCTGCAGGGTATTTGTTAACTAGGTGTACACTTAATTAGCACACATGTCTAATAACCAAAGTACTCTTATTTCACTGATTTTCTTTTAGAAAACAAAAGGCGCCTTTAGACCAGTGCTTCTCATCAGACATTAACAGATGTGATGCAAGTTACATTTTTCAAGTTTGATGGACATAAGCACAGAGAATGAGTGTGACTGAGCAAGAGCTCTGTGTATCACTGTCATCAAATCCTGCCTGGATAAGCTGACTGTGCACCTTGAGGCAAAGTCACAAACATTTGTACTTGTGCTGGTGTCATGGGGACAGAGGTTGTGTGTTAAATTTATTATTTTAACTATTTAAATGATTTTCATGCTAGCGTGCTATAGGACAGAAAAGGTTGAAAAACACAGCTTTAGACACGAGTGCAATGTTCCATACCAGCTGAGTTCCCTGTCTTTTCAATCGATGGTCACACAAGTTTACATTCTCAAAGAAGGTCTTGAAAAGGTTAAACCCTGAAACATAAAAAAAGATCCAATTTCAGACTTAGGATCTAATCTATCAGGATATCTGGAAATGCTACACATTGTAAGATGTGCTAGAATCATGGAAAATTTCATGGACAATTTACAAAGATACCTAAATTAATTTACTTTACTGCAATCACTTGTAGGGATTTACTTATTCAATAGAGCACAAAAATGTTTTAAGCAGTCACTAGTTACAACAGCATCTATTTAAATCTGACCTTTCACAAAAATCTTCTTTACTGAACTCCCCTTTTTCAACAGGTCAACATGGATATAGGACTACATCTGGAAAAGCATTTGTTAATCTATTATTTGACATGCTTATCAACAGCAATGGAGTCCCATGCAGTCAGGAAAGCACTATGCTTACACGGCTGTTAACATTCTGAGTCTCTGAGAATCTACTGCTAGGTGAAAAGAGATATGCTCACTGTTTGAAATAACTGATTTTAGTTATTACTGATAACTGATTTTAGTCCTTACCATTCATTGTAATCTCATAAGGCTCCATCTTGAGAATTTTCTCTTTGAACAACTGCTGCTGAACATCGCTCTCCAGGTCATGCTGTCCTTTTGTGAACCACTCAAAACACATCTGTACAGGAGAATAAGACACAATAGTCATGGACCAGACAATACAATATTAAAGCACAGAAAAAGGTCATTACTTCAGGCAACTAACAGAGTATTTAACTGGTTCATATTATGTCTCTATTGAACTAGTAATAATAATTCCTTGAACTTCTATAGCGCTTTGCTGGACACTCCACTCAAAGTGCTTTACAGGTAATTCCCTCTACCACCAATGTACAGCACCCATCTGGATGATACAGTGGCAGCCATAGTATGCTCACTACACATCAGTTATCAGTGGGGAGGAGAACAGACTGATGAAACCAATTCAGAGATGGAGATTATTAGGAGGCCATGATTAGTAAAGGCCAATGGGAAGCTTGTCCAGGACGCACTGGAATAACACCCCTACTCTTTTTTAGAAACATCCTGGGATTTTTAAAGACCACAGAGATCAGGACCTCAGTTTTACGTGGCACCTTTTTACAGTATAGTGTCCCCATCACTATACTGGGCCATTAGGACCCACATAGACCACAGGGTTAGTGACCCCTACTGGCACCACTAACACCATTTCCAGGGGCAACCTTAGTTTTTCCCAGGATGTCTCTTATCCAGGTACTGACCAGACTCACACCTGCTTAGCTTCAGTGGGTTGCCAATTGTGAGTTGTAGGGTGATATGGCTGCTGGCAAACTAGACAAAAGCAAAATAATTTAACCTTGTTCCAACATCTTCATGTATTTAATCACAAAGCAAAAGATGAAATCTTTGATCTTAAATTAAAATGACATTCACACTCAAGATGCAATGTGATGCAGCTTCTCTTCCTATTTCCAATTTATAAGCATAGAGATTCCACAATGGTGTTCATCCCTACCTCTCGATCCAGCTCACAGACATCCAGCCCAGATACAAGGCACTCCCAGATCTCCTTTGCACGATTCCACACTAGATACAAGCTGGCCTCTTGGAGGAAAAAGGCCAGGAACTTCAGATGCCCTTCCAAGTACTGCAATACAATAACCAAATATATATTTTAAATTATAGGCAAATTACAGTATGGAATTGGTTATGCTTCTCTCATTTTAAGACTTCTTGTCTGGAGGCAAAATGACTTTAAGCCTAAACAAATATGTAACAGCATAATCACTAGTTGTGTGGCATACAAACTTAGTGATGTGTTGCAGAACAAAACATTTATCTTAAATTGGAAAGGGAAGGAACTAAGCAATTGATTTAAGAGCATAAAGTGAAATAAACAGTTTTAAGAACTGAGTTCTTTCCACCTTATAAGAAACAAGTACTGTGGTGGTATTTAAAAAAAAATGTTCAGAAAAATCACTCCACTAGAAGTAAAGCTGTCTGCAATATCCAAAGCTGTTTACCTCTTGGTAGGTGTATCTGCCATCCACAAGTGTTGAACCAGAAAGCCCTGCTGAGCCACTCACTGACACAGCCAACCGGTGACAAGACACAAGACTGCCCGTTATCAGTTTCACAACTTCAAAGTTCTTCTTCAGATCCTGAATGATGCTCTGCTGAGAAAATGGTAACGTTTTTCTTCTATGCCTTTGCTTCTCTGGTGATTTTTGGCATTTACTTGTTTCTTTCGTAGATTGTGCATGACCATATAAAAAGTCAAGATGCACTGAATTATCCAAAGAAAATCCTAAATTCTGTAAAACTTAAATTATTGTGCTATTATAAATCTGTCGTTGCTAATGAAGCTGTGGAAAGATTAATAAGCTATTAATAACTTAAAAATACTTAAAACCTCTTTCCAGGTTTGTATGTAACTTGCTTGCTCCTCTATTTGTGTGTATACTTCTTACAAAAACACAACAAACTTTGGCGCTTATAGGTATACTAGTGTGCAACATGTGTAAATATATGTCTATTTTCCCCTGTCATCCACCCATCCATGTAATGAGTTACCCCTTCATTAATTTAAACAATGCATGCTACACAACATCTTAAATAAATATTTAAGTGTCAGAAAAAAAAAACATGAATTAATAAAAAGCTGTACTCAATTACACATTAGAAACAATGCTAGCATGGATTAGAATCTTCCATGACAGACACTGAGGGGTTTGATTTTTTTTAGGGGTTAAAATATTATAGGTAGAATATCTTCCCTGTGCTGATGTCTGTCTTCAGCTATAATACACAGACTGGGAAATGCTTGTTTCGCTGGTGGCTTAGCTGTAGACTCACCTTGTCCTGCTTCTGGTAGGTCTGCTTTATGAAGGATCGTGTGATCTCGTGCAGCTGGCGGAGTGCTGGCACCACCCACACCGCCTGGGGGTTACTCTGCTGAGATGACTGCAAAACAGACTAAGTTGGCAAGGAGAGCCAGTTACTAATACTATCCCATCATAGTAATGGGGCAGAAATATTTAAACATACAGAATAAAAACTCATGTTTTTAAAGTGGTTGCAAGCAAAGACAGATTTGTAAGCAAAGAAAACAAAACTTTCAAAAATGAAATAATTTGTTTTCTAATAATAAATACAATTTAAAATGATAATTTATTAATAATTGCCACTTACTCTATGTGCAGTATATGACAAAAAGGGAACTGTCTAAGTGTCATCAGCAAATATTGTAAGTACAGCAATTTGTGATTACAATTAATCAAATTCTTTTAGTTACTTAAAATCCCCTTTCCAATGTGCAGTTGCAATTAACTGCAAGAATGTCTCTTTACATACATTTTTCTTAGAACAGGCTATAACCCAAACACAAGCCTAAGCTACAGCAACACCTTAAGAAGTTCTTATTTGTAAGTCTAAATATACCATATGTTACTGAATTCCTGCCAAGTCTTTGATTTCCAAAGCCATCTGAGGAGCAAAACACTGTTAAAAAACCCTACTGAGTATGCTTATGTTTATCTATCCATTCATTATCACAAAGCCTGGTAAGGATCAAGGGTACTAGTATGGATCATGATACCCAGAGCCTAATCTGAAAGCAAACTGTGCAGATGCTAGTCAACACAAAGGGAGAATTTAGAATGGCCAGCATTTTCCTGTGAAATGGGAGAAAATGGGGAAAAAACCATGAGAACATGCAAATTCCACACAGAAGGCCCCTCAGTCAGGACTGAAGAGCTGTGATGTAGCAGCACTAATGTTGTCAAATTATTTTTTGATGTATGCTAATTTTGCAACAGCTACTGGTATGTACAGATAACCATATAAGTTTTTTAAGCATATATTTTTAAATAAGATAAAAATCTGCTAGACCAGTACAAGATGACAACTCTGTTTTCTATCAGTTATTAGTCCAATGGAATAGTCACTCCAAATGACTTAAAAAGGGAAACAGTAATGTAACATTCTTGTTTTGTTAAGTGACATAAATGTGATAAAAAATGACAGAATTGTATCCTTTTTGTGTTCTTCATTGAAGCTCTAGTAAATGTTAACAGTGATTAAATGCACTAAGGTTTTCTAAAAGCTTTCATGCTCAGAATTTTGCAAATCAAAGAGTAATACAGAGTAAAAAACAATCAAGGCACTCATTTGACCAGGTTAACTAATCATGTACGATCAAGCCCAAAGCTGACAGCTAAAGTTGTCCAAGAGATTGCAGATGATTGGCGACTGTTATTGACTGAGAGGAATCCAATCATGTTTCTTACTTTGGAGCTTGAGCTTGGTTTCTTCTTGCCCCAGGACCCAGTAAGAAAAGAAACTTGGGTCTCCGTGGTAGATTTTGATTCCTCTTGAATAAGTATCTAAAAAAATAAACTTGAATGGCATTTAATCGCTTCACTTTACAGTAAGCGAAGTTTGTATTCTGGTTGCCTAGGTATCCTAGCATGAAGATAATAACGTAAGAAAGTAAAGCAAAAGGTGGAACTAACTTTCTATTTGGCCAATAATGTCTGATTGGGATATTAAACCTACGAATCTCTGGAAATGTTTAATTTATATGTGTTTTGCAGATGTCACACCATGTCCTCACATACGTTTCCAGAGGCCACCTTTAACATTTTCCTACCTAGCAACATGAAGACCCGCTTTCAGAAAAGCTAGCTTTTTTAAGATAGTTCTGCAGTTTGTCTTGACAATGATGAAATTCAGTAGATCTTCTCAGTGCGCATGTGAGTGAGAAAACCAAGGAACCCTGGCATTGAAAAGGTGTAACTGACTAGGACAAGAGGGTGGATTTGTCTTTTAGAAACAGACCTCCTTAAGATTTGCACCAAAAGCATTTTTCCTAAATATTAAAACATGCTTCCTGTTCTGGAACAATAAACAATAATTAGTGTCTTTCTGTACCTCTGTAAGATAACCAGACTTATCACTGGATCTTTAAAAGGTCTGACATTCTGTGTTGCAAAGTTCAGCCAGCCCAGCACTAATGCTCATCAAAAGCCAACCTTTTTGATGTCCTCGATACACTTGATTACATAGTTCCTCTTGACAGTCTCCTTTACGGCATAGGCATCACTCAGGATGGCAAGGTGCTCCTCCAGGGCTTGCTGCACCAGGCTAGTTGGCAGAGTGGGCAAGTGTGCCAGCTCCCACAGTACCTCCAGCACCTGGGACAACACACACACCCGCAAATACAAAACAGCCCACAGCAAAGAGGAATTCTAAACCACCTTCCTATCAGTCTCAAACCTTTTTAAGTTCATATTGGCTAGCTTGGTAAACAGTCATGTATCCTAAATAATTAAGCAATCACTGATTACAAATGAATATCATACATATGGAAAATATTATCAAGATTGCTTTAAATATGTATAGATATTTTTTGGCATAAAATCAGACCTTTAATGTACCCTGCCAAGCTATAGCCAAGCGACGATCATGTGCTGTTTGCTTTATTAGTCAACCCCACTGTGCCAGTGTCCTCACCTTGCCAGTGGTGGCCTCAGAGCGAGCCTCACGGCCAATCCTCCCAATCAAACTCAGGAGTTTCTGTCGAACTCGGTCGCTTTCCACCTCCCAGCTCTGTATACAGGGAAAAGCGGGTCATGAACTAACACCCTCATGCATCCCATCATTCAGAAATGAGGAAGTGCAAAACAAAAAAAACTTTCACAAAGCATAAACACAAACCTCTGGTAACACACAGTACAGTAAGATATAATAAGAGCTCTGATGTAAGAACAAAACCTAAGTTGAGGAACAAATCCCTTCCATGTCAGATTTAGAATTGCCAACTACTTACACTCTATCTCCTTAATATATATATAAATATATATATGCAATTTATATTCTGCAATTTATATTCTGCAATTTCCCTAACAGGATCAATAAAGTATTTATAATATACATCTCCTTAATATACTGTATATTTTACAGGGGAATAACCAATATCAATGTTTCAATTCTTTACACAATGAAATATCCTTAATGGGAAAAAAATGATGTACCTGGCTTAATAAAGAAGCAAAACAAATCAAAACAAACACCAACAGTTGATCAGGTAATGAGTTGCAAAGAAAACTGGGATCACACATCTCAGCCCTTCAAGGCTCACTTATATCTTATATGTGATCATTATAGCACATTACAATGTTTTTTTTATTTGTTAAACATTGTAGCGGCAATGCTTATTAATAAGTCAGAATTAAGTGTTGCTGTGCTTTCCTAAATGAAGCCCCATCCCTCTTTCTCATCTCTGTGGTGCAGCCACAGAAAAGGTATTCATGCAGTTCTGATTTAAGGTGTGCTTAATTGATCATGCTTGCCTATCATGATCAATGCCCATTCCTGGTGCCTATCTGTCTGTGAGATTCTTGAGAACATTTGGATTGTGGTCCTAGATGGCAGAGGTCATTGTTACTCATCTCTCACCTTGACCAACCAATCAGGAACCTGCAGGGCGTGGTAACTCCACGTGGGTCTGAAATGCCCGCTAAACTTTCGACCAATCATCACCTGTCTTGGTTCTGGTTTAAAAGACACTGCACAGCTCAGAAACTTTATCTAAGGGTGTGAAAATGGCCAGAGAAGCAATCACGTGACGGCAGGTGTTGTCTGTATAAGGACTGGAACCTTATTTCAGCAGAGCTTCGGCCCGGGGAATGCCAGTACGTAAATCGCTAGTCAACGCCAACGTGGACGCTTCGATTGATCACCGGAGTATATGTTTGGACTCTTGTCGACAACCTGAGTATGTTTTTATTCAGCACCAGCGCTACACCGGAAGCAAACCCAGTTTCTTCCACCTAAAGAGTGACTTTCTGGGACCCGCAGCCACCCTCTGTGCATAGAGACCTTCGTCTGACTCCGAGCTGCACCCTGCACCCTGCCCAACCTGACTGGTTGGCCGGGAGACACAGCGATTGGACGCAGCCACTAGCTGGTTTTTGGTGTCTGTGCCGGGAAACATGAATCCATATCTAGATAAGTAAACCCAATGTTCTACACGGAATCTTGAGAATTCAATTGCTACCTCAACACAAGTTGATATCAATTCAATTCATATGAGTAATGTACAGATGCAGCCATTCGAAGTGCGCGGTACAAACCCGTACTGCAGGCAACTCACTTTGTCATACCCCGGTACATGATTGGCTGGCCAAAATGACTGACGGGCACTCGTGGTGCGTTGGACGGTTGTGGAAAAATTTGATCATTTAATGTCTTTACTGTGCATGTTTTAATCCGCTTAGTATTGAATATTTATACGGAATTTTACAACTAAAGGGAAATTTTTGTAGCTGAGCATAAAAAGAAGAGGAGCATAACGCATCTGAAGGTCATAAACGATATTAATTAAGGAACATAAATATATTACTGTATGTAAACTGTACTGTATATGGCTAGTCTTGGTAGTTTAAAGAAAAAATACACACCAGTCTTCCATTTCTCCCTAAACATTCGAAGCATCAAAGTTTTATAAAACGGTCCCCAAATATGCGATTGCTTTATAGAATTAATTTTAATTTTAAAAATTTATTTAACACGAAAATTAAGCTGTTTACTTTCCTCCCCCTGAGAATATAGTCCCTCGTCCCTCCTTAAAATTTCTTTATCACACAGTAAAAAGTCAAAATTCTGGGGTGTGCGTATACCAGAGAATATGGCATGACTTCAGATGGGTGCCAGCCAATCAGATTTCATAACCGGAATTATCCGTTTTATAATCAGGAATATAATATGGAATCACGTATCTAAAGAAATTAATAATGATATTAATTTAAGGATCTAAATATCTAAATCTATGTATCTATTTAGCTGGTAGTATTACTGTATTCCACTTTCTTTGTAAACATGTTTTGTTAACAACCAAATTGCAGCGGAAGAGAGAGAAAAAAATGCATTCTGTTTTTTGTTATGGTCTGTAACAAAAAACAAGAAGAAGTTGCATTGCTGGTATTGGTATTTTAAAGAAAAAATACACACTAGTATTCCATTTCTCCCTAAACATTTTAAGCATCAAAGTTTTACATGTGGTTATTTTGGAAACGTTTTACGTTTTTACTTTTACTTTTTCTACCTCAACATTTTACTAAAATGATTAGGGAGAAATGGAATACTGGTGTGTATTTTTTCTTTAAACCAGCCATATGCAGTACAGTTTACAAACAGTCATATGTTTATGTTCCTAAATTAATATCTTTTATGAGCATGTGAAAGGCATGGTGAATCGGAGATTCTCAAGACTTACTTCGTATGATTGGAAACGAATGCGTGATCGGATCAACAAAATGCTGTGGTGTTACTATTTGTCAATGAAAAAATTAAGTCTTTTCGTTTACAAAGACGGTTACAAAGAATGTGGACCAGGGTAATACTTTGAGTTTACAGCTTATCCAAAGTCATTCATTATTAATACTATTAGTAATATCTTCGGTAAAGACTTTGATGAATTGGATATTTCTGCATAATTAAAATATTTATGGTAAAGGTGGTAGGTTGTGTACTTTTGTCCAACTGAGCAGATCTTGCTTTCATAAAATATACCAATATTTTAATGTATAATGATTAACATGCTGTAATACACAGTTTAAATTTAAAAGTCTAAAGAGCATACAGCTTTAATTCTTAATTGAATAAAGATTGTCCCTCAGCAGTGATCGGGATTTGAAACCGGGTGTTTTCTGGCGACAGCTCAAATGCTGTACATGAGAGGTTAAGCTTTATTAGCTCCACCTGGCAGTGATTCCGGATACTATTATCTTACTGCAGTATTATATGGTATGACGCAATATGACACGTTAATACGCGTTGTGATGCGACACGCCCACTGCTTTTTACCGCGACGTACCCCGCTCGTTTTGAATGGCTGCATCTGCACTTTTGAGTAGCTAATGTAGACTGATTAACGATAGTATAGCAGAACAGTATATTGAAGCATATTCTTTGTATCTCTTTGTGTTTTGCATATCTTCGTTATTACATACCTTGCACTTTGATAACCCTCACAGATCTGCCATCTGTATCCAGGCACGCTGTTATATGTTTTATATGCACAATTTATGTATTCATAAATGTATCTCGTTTATTGAATCTGTGTGTGTGATCGATTGATTTTCTAAAAGCCATAACGAACCACCTCATGATTAATGCTACAATTAATATATCGTCCCAGTAAATTCACAAAACCCCTTCAACATCATTAAACTTTAAAGAATCTATGTGCAACAAATGCATGATGGAGACATAATGCAAATACTTTCTTGCCTTGGTTTTACACGTACTTCTACTCCTGGAGATCCTAAATCAGACATCACCCTACCTTGCATACTGAAGTATGAAGACTCACTGACAAACACTTCCCAGATTCTTACCTTCTGAATGAGGACAAACAAGTGGCTGAGCTGATCGAAGTTGAACTTTACTGCCGCCGCAGCGATGATAGTGTGGATATTCTCTATTACAGTGGAAGACTGGCCAGACTATACATAAAGCAAAAGATCAGCATCACAACCAACACCCACGATCAAATTATAAGGCAGAACTGCTTCATGTCATTTTGTACACAAATGTTTCTTTTTGTGCACTATTACTGTATTATGGAAAATAATAAATACAACAAAATACTTCTTATGTGAGTATGTAGACTTTATTTCCAAGTCCCAAAACCTAATCCCTCTCTTTTATATTAGTCCTTAAAAGGAAAATTGATTAGTTATCTGCTGATCCACTATAGAGTCCACTTTTCAGGATCACATCCCCACCATATACCTGGGTATAACTGGAATTTGAAAACTTTCCTTTTTAAACCATCTGAACAACAGGGGAGTTATAGTTAACCTGCCATTAATGCTGTTATGCCACAATACTCCACTTGAGAATTTGCCCACATTAAGAGCCAAATTACACATAAAACATGGGGGGCATGAAATTAATGCGTTCCGCATTCACAAGTTTTTTGTAGCACACGACAATATACCTAAATTGGGTTAGATATACACATGCAGGAAGCTTTTACTAATTTTGCCATTAAATACACACTTGGACCAGCTGACTATATTAATTCTTAAAAAAAACTTGTATGGCTTCACTTTTTGCTTGAGTGTGAATGGCAGCAAGTGCATTCTGCTGTATACTGCATCAAGACCAGAAAGAAAATGGATGATATGGCACCACAAACTGCTTTGTCGGATCCCTAAAACACACAATCAATATCGGTTTAGTAATTTATGTAAAATATTTTCCAATTAAAAGAATAAATGTGAATAACAGAGAAAAAGAGTATATTATTAGAAGCCATCAAAGATTTCATTTTCTTTTAAGAAGTTCAGCATCAGTAACTGGTAGATATGATAGACTCAGTCTAACAGTTTAAACTTTTTTATTTGGTACTGAATACTTTACAGTGAAGAATGTCAATCTTTAACAGCTACTACAGTTGATATTTGGAAAAGCTTGAAACTTTCCAGATTAGACACTCACCTGTATCCTCCAAATTTTGGACAGCTCATCCAATGAGAGCTTGCTCCCCAGAAGTTCAATGATTCCCTTTATACGATCACAGTATTGAGCCTGGTCAATGTTCCCTGTTAAAGATAGAAAAAAAGAAAAATTAGAAGCCTCTTTAAATAAGTCACATAAAACAGCTTCTGTTGCAAAGAAGGATTTAAAGTTTCTTATCTTCCAAGAAACACATTAAGTGTTTCCACTCCTCAATGTACCTATGCCATTACTGTAACTATGTCTATTGTGTTTGCCAGTATTACATTCTTTTTAATAATATCACAATATTATTTTTTAATAGCATAATATTATAAACCTTTCTCTTAGCTGGAAAACACATAGATATTTATTTAAAATAATAAGAACAACCACCTTCCAGGGCTATGGACAAGACTGAATTTTCCACCAGCCAGTCTAACAATCGATCAGTGTCGATGGCGTTCTTCACTGTCTTTGAAACTGTACTTTCTTCGATAAGCTTCGTCACCTATGAAAAAGACAGGAAAAAACAAAACCTGAACACAACATAAACCATGATTTACTAGACACATCTTTTATATGTGCATAACATTGCTGAAAATTAAAACAACTAAAAGATACAGTACATAGGCATATTTAAAACAATTGAAATATTAAAAAGTGGCTAGCTTACTTAACTTCCCATTGTTAATTAAATATGTACTAATTACCTTAAAATTTTCACTTTTCATAACTTACAAGCCACATTCAAACATTGATTATATTTGTCAAATTAACTGCAAACATTTTCTTTGCAAACATTTGTACTCGCAATAAAATCATCATTTAAAAAAATCCAAAATGTGCTTCACTTTCTAGAAAAATATCACATCCTAGAATTTGTTTCTAGGAACAAAACATAAAATCATTAGGGAAGCATTTCTTTAAAAGGTGCTCAGTCCTTACTATCGTCCAACTGTTTTTTTTCATTTTGCTTTCGTGGAATGAGCTGTTCGTCCCTTAGTAATATCACAATCAAGCATAATATTATTTGTAAAGGTAGAATAGGCTCACTTTGCTTTGCTTTTGCCTTAGAAGAACTAATCAAACAGTTGAGTCCTGCTACTTTTCATACCAGGAAATGAAAAATATAATTTTTTGTGGTTTAGATGCTGCTCACAATCTCTCCATCAGTCATCATAGTAAATCATGGATTGGTATTATCTGCTTCAAGCCACACATCCCATGTTACCTGGATTAAGGAGCTTGGGTTGTACATAGTTTCCAGTCTTATACAAATTTGCTTTGATGCTACCCTTAACAATTTCTGAATGTATTTGGGCTTTTTTTTCCCCCCAAGTCCACCTACAGACTTTTTTCTAGTTTTTCTAAACAATCTCCCTCCTGACATCTTTCCAAACCTCACTGACCTTGAAAACCATATCTATCAACGTGAGGTGCTTAGGGGAGTGTAAGTATCCTCTTCTTTAAAAGCTTTAAAAAAGTCTGTGCAACGCTTTTACTGCCTTCAATGTGTCCCAGCTCAGGATGTAGGCATTGTGCTCAAAACTTGTACTTTTCTGTGATTGATAGCTTGGCCAGTCCTCATGAACACTAGCACAAGATGACCCCCTATTTTTCTCACCTCCTTCAAGGAGTTCATTTTGGCACTGAAATGAGGGGTCTTCAGCATGCGCAGGAGGATGTCTAGCCTGAGGTCATCAACCACAGTGACGAGCTCACGCTGAAACCGCATGCATAGGAGCTTAATGGCTGACAGGAGTTCAGGAATGCTAACCAGCCTCTGCACAAGGTAAAAAAAAAGACTCAATAGACTTCATGAGAGAACAATGAAAGAGAACAGGCTATCCCACATGTCAGGCAATATTTTCTCCAGAATGTTTCAGTGTTAATTAATCTGGGGGCAAATCAAACTAATTAAGCATAGAATTAAGTCTATTATTATAAACTTAATTTAACTATGCCTTCCTGTGTACTGAGAACATAAAAGAAACAAAATAAGGTATAAAGCTTACACTGCTCATAAAATTAACTGGCTCAAGACTCCATGGAATGGGAATCATATTTCAAATGCTATTAAACTAAAGCAATTTAAATAGTTGTTCCATTACCTTGTCTTTCAGGTCTTTCTCTTCTAGGGTCTGCACGTAGGTGATCATCTTATGGATAACCGGGTCCAGCATGGGCTGTTAAAATTCCAGTAATGGTCACAAATAAATCCCTAATATGCGGAACTTTAAGTCAAAAGAGATCAAATAAAGTCTTTATTTCACATATGGTCAATTGTTAAACCATGCAATTTTCCAAAATGTAGCAGAATGGCAAAATAGCACTGCTGTGTGGCAGCTATGACTCCAAATGAACTGTGGATAAAACAACCTTTTTCAGTGCCACTCCTGAAAGAGAACAGAAGACTAGAGGATAAGCATAAACATTTTTATGTTCCATTAAAATTTTGGGTAAGAATAAAAGTCTAAGATGGAAATAGATATCACTTTGAATTATAGATAAGCAAAAGTTAACTTTCTCTTTTAATTCAGAAGGTGTTGCTGATCTCACCTGTACCAAACTGGAATTCAAGTACTCTGCACAGACACCCAGTGGCTGAACCAGGGCAGACACATTCTATGGAGAAACAAACAAACAAGATGCTGAGCATAAGGTGTAATCTGATTTATTTGCACAAAAAACAAGGTGCACCATAGTTTTTAAAAGACAAATCTGCAAAAATAATTAAAAACACAACATTTCTAAGAATGAATAAAAAAAATACTAACATGAGGTGTAACTGTTAAGAGACTGTCATGTAAAGTCTCTGCGAGTGAAAGTTTTTCATAGAACTGCTCAGTACATGGAAGTGTCTTATTCCTCAGAAGGATGTGTTACATATTAAGGATAAAAGCAACACTGTCAGGTCCAATAATTTCAGGTTTTATGAAATCCAAGGGATTCTACAATTTTTAGAAACAAATCAAAGAATAAAATATGATCATGTCTAATTCTGCAAGTACTCTATACAGATTTATTCAATTTGCTGTAAAAGGAATGACAATTGCAGATCCCGGTGCTGGATAACCTATGAGAGTAAGCATTAAAACCTGTAATAGATATAATGCTATGCAATGAGTGTCTGACTGTCATTCACGAGGTAGGGCAACTAACCTCATGGAGGTAAAGAACTGCTGTCATATGCCATCCTAACAGTGGTTGTTCTGACTCTACAATCTTTTCTGACTGCACCCATAGACTGTGAGATGTTATTGCTTTTCTTACTCAGTTTCATGACCTTTCTTTTTACTTACACTTGGCAAATGACGCACAGAAAGAAGGTGGAAGGCTGACTATTTCACAGTTTTATATTCCCAAAAGGCCTTTAAAATACTGCATCCTCCCACTCATGTCTACATTAACTGCACTGTATGTTATTTGATAATTATTAAATGCATATCTTGAGTCTTTTACAGAAAGTTTTGATAGTGTGATTAGATGTACGTCTTCAGGTCAGTAAAGGGAAAATTATAACTGCTTAAGAAACTGTGCTATAACAATATTTGAGCTCGTCTTGTTATTAACAGTTATCTGGATTTAATTACTAGATATTGACGGTCAAAGAAGGTTAACTGCAGTTTTATTAGGCAGGAGGAGATGTCAGAATTAAACCTAGAATCCACGAGCCTTAGATATAATTAACATAAAACAGAAAGACAGAAATAACAGAAGGCAAGAGGCATGAGTCAGAACCAAAGAGCAATACTCATTTCCCATTTCAATAAGGAAAATAAAGTCCCTTGCTCTAAGGAGTTGATATCTGAACTGCACTTTATCTCACACTTTCCAGATTTAATTGTTGTTAAATAATTTTGACTGTGGCAGAAAAGCTTGTCAATACATTTATTTTTTCTATAATTGATTGTTGTAAAGCCCTATTCACTGGGGTATCTAAATCCACACTAAACAAACTCCAATATGTTCATAATTCGGCAGCCAGAATCCTGACCAAGTCATGTGCAAGCAATCACATTAGTCTTGTCTTGGAGTCCTTGCACTATATTCCTATCATGTTTTGAGTTGACTTCAAAATCCCCACGCTCTCCTATAAAGCTCAATATGGCTTGACACACCAGTAACAATCCGACTTATCTGGCTCCTACCTACCTCACACCCTTTGTTCATCTGCCTTCCGTTACTACACCAGAACTTCACAGTAAACACAGTGTTCTGAAGATACCCCAAACTGCTTTGTATAACTGCTTTGCCACACAGCAACCTCAAACATTAAGTTATTAGGAGATGGAAGTGAGGAAGTTGCTTCACTCTTTATCCTCCAATATTCCTTACAATTACATGGGCATAAAATAAATACTCTAAGCTACAGCTCTGTTTTTAAGTGGAAAAAGATTGGAACAGACAAACTCATATGAACAACATCTTTTCTTACCCCAATTTCTATTTCTTCTGAGTTTAGCTTGGACTGGATTGAAGAAAATCCCTCCATCTCTCCAAACTAAAACCAAAGAGCTTGAATTAATCAAAAACATACTCTGAATAGGAATGCCATGTGCTTTAATATATACACCACTAAATATATATATATATCACATCACCAATCTATGACCAGTATATAATGAAAGCAAAGCTGGTTTTCTTTGATTTGCAAAGTGTTCTGACTTTTAACTTCAAATTGTCATGCTTCATTTTGAAAAAAATAATTTGACATTCAGTATGGTGGATTGTAACTTCCAAAAAGAAACTTTTTCCACAAGAGATTTAGCATGTGAAAGATCGAATTCTTTATTTCATAAAAACGATAGGATACAGGAATTCCAGGTTCAAGAAACACAGGGATACTTACCCGGTTTACCAAATCTACAAGCCAGCCATGGGGCTCCTGCAAAATCAAACAGGAATCCAGGATCATTAACACCTTCAACACATCACTCTTACCAGTGATGAAAACTCCTGGCAATAAAAACTTTTACTTAAACAAAAAGACAGTACAGATTAAATTACCATTTATATAAAAGACTACAGTTAGATCGAACAGTTTTTAAATGACTTAAGAGCTTCCACTAAAACCCAGTATGAACTTACTTATTGTGGGTTACTTTAAGTTGTTTTGGGGGTTACATTTTCAGCAGTGTTTTTAAAATACTTTTTAACTCATCTCATAGTCACATATTAAAAAAATGGTCTTAAAGAACAGGCTTACATACTTAAAATGTTTCACTTGAAAAAGCAATTCAGGCTAAACCTTCTTAATTTTTAATCTTCCGTAATGTTATGTAAAACACAAAACATGACAAATATAGTGAAGCTTCAGAAATGTAACGCCTGATGATAGCCAACTTATAGCCTGTCCATGTCCTTGTTTCCATCAGCTTTCATTATGGGCACTAAACCCCATATTGCATAAGAGTTTGAGCAATATGTTATTCAGCCTTGCCTAGACAATTATGAGCTTAATCTCACAACAAAAATACAACAGACACACAAACATAAGAGAGTTGTGAATTTCACAAATGTAAGTGCATTTTTGGATTTTATAACTTTATAATGTTAAGGTATTATAAAACAGAAAATAAATTATTTATAATGAATCTAGCAGAATCTTTATAATTTGTTTTCACTTTGACATTTTGTATTTTGTGTTGATCTATGGTACAAATTCCCAGTTCTACACATTATGATTCCATATTGTAGCACAATAAAATGTGTAAAAGTACAAGTGAATACTTTTAATATGCACTGTAGCATTTTGGGATGTGACAGATAACTAGTCATAATGACAGATTACTAGCCATGCACCTCCTGAACATCACCATGGACTGCAACAAAAAAGACTCTGTGGACAGGCATTCAATCTTTCACCACAGAAAAAGGCTAAAGCTGAACCCAAGAAAGCAAATGTCTCCAGCGAATAGTAATGTCCTTGTTTGAGATGTCTACTGAAAACAGAGACACAGGACTCAATGCAGACGGGTTTAACAGGTAAGATGAACCAATAAAGCAGAACAGCTGTTTCTCTGATATAACTAACAACAATCAGCAGCCATATCACCCTGCAACTCACAACTGGCAACCCACTGAAGCTAAGCAGGCATGAGTCTGGTCAGAACCTGAATGGGAGACCTCCTGGGGAAGCTAAGGTTGCTGATGGAAGAGGTGTTAGTGGGGCCAGCAGCAGGCGCTAACCCTGTGGTCTACGTGGGTCCTAATGCCCAAATATAGTGACAGGGACATTATACTGTAAAAAGGCCTTTCATTCGTTCAGATGAGAAGTTAAACTGAGGTCCTGACTCTCTGTGGTTAAAAATTGGCCTTTACCAATCACGTCCTCCTAATCATCCCCATCTATGAACTGGCTTCATCACTGTTCTCCTCACCACTGACAGCTGATGTGAGGTGAGCGTTCTGGCACACTATGGCTGCCATTGCATCATTCAGGTGGGTACTACACATTGGTGATGGTAGAGGGGAGTCCCTATTACCTGTAAAGTGCTATATAAGTGTATGCAATTATTAATATTATTAACAATAATAATACCAACAAAAACAACAAAAATAATAAATCAGATGTATAGAACTGCTGTTTCCTTCCCAGAATTACAAAACTAATAAATTGGCACTTGTCTCTTGTGTGGGTTTAATTAGTGATTTGGGCACGTTTTTACAGTCCTATGTTAATCAATGCAATTGAACACAAAGTACCAACCAATATTCAGCTTTAATTCAGTATAAAGAACCCTCAATTACCTGGACTCAAGACCTTTAGACTTACCGATTTCTAGTTCTCATTCAACACACTCCTCTTCATTTTTGTTAGCCGGAAATATTGCCAACTACTGTTTAAGTTGAGGATCTTTATACTATATTAATGTGGCAATTGAAGTAAACTCTAAATGTTCCTTAAAATACCATGAAAATTCTCAATTTTGAGAGTGAATTTTGAAAAAAACGTTTTGTACTTTTTTCAAGACACTAGTTATGTGCACGCATTAGATAATTTAGGTATGCTGATATGTAAAGACATTTAAGATTATACTGACGGGTTTATATCTACCCATAAAGAGCAATACTTTATTTTTAAAGTTTCAAAATTAGAACTATACCAGGTGAGCACCTACCTTTTGAAAGCTGGAGCTTGGCGAGACGGCAAACATGTTATCTTCCCCAAACACTTCTGCCCAGTTCCTCTGGCAGGTTTTCATGCGGTTTTTGAAATGGTACTCATTATCTGGGTTAAAGGCCTGTAAACAAGAGAGAGGTAAAACATGATTAAGAACTAATTTCCCCTCAACAACCCTAAAGTAATATTTTTCTGCAGTGTATCATTATCTTGCATCCTTTAATAATATCCTAAATTAACTATCCACAAAATCTACACCTTTTTCTACAACAACTGTCATGTGACAGTTGTTGCCCAAGACTTTGCCGAGATCTTTCTACTTTCTTTAAATGCAATGGTTCAGACCAGCAGACCAGACTTTCTAAATGTAATGTTAGCAAGCATATGAGCAGGAACATTTCAGACATCTTCATTATGTTGTACTATACAACTAAGTGATCAATGAATCACCCACTGTGTGCAGCTGAAGCCCAATAACAATGTGTAAAAATGGCAGTACCATTGTAAGCACACCCATGAGGCCTATGGGAATGGGGTCCTGCTTGACTCTCTCTGCCACCAGGTCCACTAGCAGCATAACCATGTTATAGATTCCCTCATGGATCTCAGTTCCCCATTTGTGAACAGCACTTGATGTCAGCAGCTGCAAAAAGAAATAAAATAAATGATTGTCACATATGACAAACTGCATAGTTAACCAAACCCCACATTACTTGAAGATGCTTCATGTATCGAATAAAATGTTAAAGGAACACTTTAGAAAGTATTTGCATGTGAAAAACAACAGATTGGAAAACAGGTCACGATAATATAGCAAAAGACTCACATAATGAAAAATAGGCACAAGTAATTAAAAAATGTGTTTTAAAACTAACAAAACGGATCTGTGCATCACGGACCCATATAGTAATAGAATGTGTGAACTGGTTCCACATTCCTTTTGTAAAAGATGCACCACACCTGTAAAGAAGTGTAAGATTACAAATTAATTAATTTTGCATTACGTCCCTGTTCAACTTACAAGACTGGCTCCAGGGCTGTCAAAAGAAATAAATACTGCAGCTTGTCTTGACACCTTCATTACACCACCAAACAAGTTCAATCCATTCCGAGACATAGAAAAACATACATCAAGAGGTGGACTCAAGGTAGCAGTTTCTAGCATAGTACCATGACAGGTGATGAAGTTCCAGTAACTCTGATCAACAACTATACAACAGTAAATCTTACTTGTACATGTAAACGTATAGAAAAGATAAATAGAACTAAACTACAATTCTAAAGGATACTCAACATAGATTTAGGAAAGGTAGGTCTTGCTAAACTTACTCAATAAGTTATTTGAAAAAACAAAAGTAGTAATATAGATAAACTATATTATGTGGTACCATTTCTGAGAAGGCTTCTGACTCTCAAAAGATAAACTCTATAATTGCAGAAGGCATTCTAGGTAAAGTATGTATGTGGACAGAGTAAATTGGTAACACTGAACTTTAAGAAGCTGTTTATGAATATCTTAGATGTCAATGTTGATACTGCGGAAAATTAGGGGAAGTAATAAAACAGGCAAATGCTAACCTTAACCTTGAGCAGAGAATATTATGTGGTGACCAGAATCAAAAATTGTCAAAGATAGATCCAAGATGGGCTGAATGGTGCTCTATCATTTATACCTTTTTTTGTGCTTAAGAGACAAGGATGACTTAACTTAATTTCTTCACAAACTAAGGATAAAATCATTCAACGTGCACAGCAATGTTTGTCTTTTAAGTCTATACCTTTTTGAATGCCTCAGGCATGCATCTGTCCATGAATCTTTTACAATTTTCATCTGCGTCAGCAAGACCTGCACATATAACAGAGATCACATTAGAAGTAGAAACTTGGGCACAGAACACAATCCACTACTGTGTAGTAGTCGAGCCTTCGCGGCTTTTAACTGTTAGCTTAATCAGACACATCTGCTCTACACTGCAGGCTACTTGTGAAGGAAACTGACCAAAAGGAAAAAGAGACATTAAACACTATTCAAGTGTCTTTAAAGAGACTATTGATGACTTTAGCCAGCACAGCATTATACATACTCTTTCAAAATCAAAGTAATTCAAAGTGGAAATGAAAGACAATTTGCCACAATTACTGTCTTTACCCAACAATACAAAAACACAAGAAACAAAAACTGTAATGTGATAGCCAAAACAAGAATAAACTGATCTGAGAAAATCAAGAACATAATAGCATACGTTGTTTTCTCAAAAAATATTTTCAAGTGTAATTATGCTGTTTATTTTACTTCTTTAATTCTTATTTTTATTGGGATTATAGCACAAGCAGATTTTAAAAAAGTAATAAAGCTAAATTTTTCTAGATGGTAAATGAATACACACCTTTACTCAGAAAAAAAACAAAACAAAATCACAGCACACTCAAAGATGTTATATCATTACATCCACATACAAGGCACATGATAAGGAATTACTAAGGGAATAAAAATATGTAAACTTTCAAATCCATGCACAGCAAAATATAACCTATTTCCAATATCTACTAAAGTAAAGTCATTTTCAATATCGACACCACCAACACCATTGCACCCTGTACATCTGTATTAATGTATAATACAGGTATACATTAGTAATATATACATGTATAATACATTAATACATTCCAACTCTTAACCTCATCCTAAAATTAATTGCACATTTATGCTTCAATACACCCTGTTATATATGAATGGTTTCTGCGCTGAAAAGACACTGTGAGCCTTACTAACCCCACCTATCACTCCAGTGTTTTTCTTGGTTACTGACTGGCAGACCCAGGAATTATTCTGCCAACTGGAGCATGGGGCCCTTACCCAGCCTTGCCAGGCACGTGGAGGCGATGAGGCACTTCCCCAGCGATTCTTCCCTCTTATAGGGGATAGACCAGTGGTCAGTGAAAACACGACTCTCCAGCTCATACAGATTGGTGGTAGGAAACTCGATGTTTCCTCCTGAGCAATTCCCATTTTCATCGTTGCTCCTCTGGAAGGGAAAAGAAAACCACAGTTATGAGTCCGGGAGGCAGCCAACCTTTTTGTGACATGCAACAATTCTTAATCATCACCTCTTATCCTGAAATAAAAAGGACATTCTTTTTTTTTTTAAGGCCACAATAAAGCACAGAACACCTGCGTCTCTTAAAGACTAATTTTCATGCATAGTCAAAACAATTCACTAAATGAGATTTTAAAGCAGAAAGAAAAAAAGAAGGCATCAGACTACCATCAGGTTCTGGAGTTTAAAACATAAAATTGCATAAAAATGGCATAATATTTTGTCAGAATATTTTAATAAATATTATTTTATGCAGACCTAATTCAACACAGCGCAAGGATGGAAATGCTCTTTTTGCAAAACTTTCAGAGCTTTTGGTGCTTTTTTCAGTTACAGGGCTTTTGCACATTGACCATCAGGTGCTGAATATTTATGACTTGAGATTGAATTTGGAATGCGTTTTCAGGGGAACACATAAGGAAATTATCACAAAATGGCAAAAGGTATCTGGAGCATACAGACGTTGTGGACAAAAAATGGAAAAACCTAGGTAAATGAGGGGCACCAAGTATATGGAAAGCAAGAAGTTCTACACTTCCACACCAGTGTGGCTGATGCTTTCATTCAGCAAATAACATCTTGGCAATAATTATGGTCAGTTGATTGACCATCATATGGAAGAATGGTGCTGCATCCCTCCTGTAGAATTCTAGACACTGTGTTATTGTGTGCCACAGTACACAGAAGATTTGGTGGCCCAGTGCCCTATTATGTAACTTTACATGAGTGATATATGTAATTGCCATATTTTATCCACTGTACCCGATATTGATCAAAATGTTATGCCAGCTGAAGTCTTCTTTCCTCTTATTGTACAACTTTCAATGAATTCCTTACAACCTTTTGTAATCTATAGAATACTAGATAAGGTGCATGCTGCACATTGGTGGTAGTGGTGGGGAATCCCCACTACCTGTAAAGCGCTTTGAGTGGAGTGTCCAGAAAAGCGCTATATAAGTGTAAGCAATTATAATATTATTATTACTATTATTACTATTATTACTATTATTACTATTAAGTGTGAGCATTCTAGGTGAGGTGACGTTAAATGCACATGTATTTGACAGTTTACTTAGCTTCCTCAACAGCACTGGAGGAAAGGTTTAGCTCAACTCAACAGCAAAATTAGGTACAAAAAAAAAAGAACAAAGACTTAACATCAAGTCTGTCAAACTCAATTTTGAACAGAAGAACAAACATAGATTTTAACATCACAACCTCCGTTTCAAAGAGAGGAATTGCCTTTCACACTTGCATCATTCACTTCTGTGCCCGACAGAGAATCGAACCATAACATCTATACAGATTAACCTTAACAAGGAAACTGTCTTGTGGATAAATGTGAAACAGAACTGTTGGACACGAATGTGTAAATACAAATCTGTAATAGTCAACATATGCTTAACTTCGTTTGTCAAGGTACCATATTAACATTTTATCACATTTAGTAAGACAGCCCTGCACTTTAGGGAGTGATGTGTGAGGCATTGCAAAAGTGATTATTTTGTTTTCTGCAATAGGCCACAAATTTTGGGCTGAATGGTTTAAATCAAACTCTCAAAGCCCAAAGTTAAACATTTACATTAGGAAAATGAACTGTGGGTTACAAAACATATGTTCTACAGTTTAATTCCACTGCATGAGAATTAATGTTTCTCAAAGGGGATTTACTAAATTACTAGAAAATGTGCAATTCTGACTATTTAGAACACACGCATCTCAGTATGTACTTGCAAATATTTCAGTCAAATATTCACTGTAAATCTTGTCTGATAAAAGCCAAACTGGAGGCACTGAAAACAGCAAAGATAACTTGACCTATACTTTACATCATTCCAAAGCATATCCAAACTACTGTTAATGATAAAGCCAAATATACCTAGGACAATAATGGAAAACTGCTTCACAATGCAAAGGGTGTAATACTGTACTAAATGAGTATTTTACTCATGTGTTAAGTAAGGAAGAAGCCAACAATATGCCTCAGACAGCAGGACAATGTTTTGTACTGGACAGTTATAACATAGAAGAGGTCTTCTGAGAACTAAAAACTCTCAACATTAATTCATCCACGGGGCCTGATAGTATCTCGACAATTGTGCTCAAGGAAACAAGAGATGTTATTCAGAACTTATTCACTTAACTCTTCCAACAGTCGCTTAAGAAAGGGGTAGTACCCAGGGACTAGAGAATTACTAATATAGTAGTCATCCAAAAAAAGGTGAATCAAGTGATTATAGCCCCATAATTCAAACATCTATTTTATGTATGGTTATGAAAAAAATTATTCAACTGAACTAGAGAACCACTTACAACAGATAAAAGTTGCAAAATAATAAGGAATAGTCAACAAGGACTTCAAAAAAGGTTTTGTCAAACCAACCTGTTAAAAGTTATTTGATCAAGTACCAACAATGACAGAAACAGAACATCCAATACGGTGTATTAAGATATTCAGAAGGGTTTTGATAAAGTTCCTTTATAAAAGATTAATTCTCAAAATATTGGAGTTGGAATTCAGGGAAATGCATGTACTTGATTTAAGAACTGGATAACAAATAGGAAACAGAGAATACACATAAGAGGTAAATGTTTGAATTGGGGTAATGTAGAGTAGTAGAGTACCACAGAGATTAGTATTAGGACAACTGCTCAAACTGCTCTTATCAATTGTCAGAAAGAATATAAAATAAAAGTCAAAAACAGCTAGATAAAATTCAAGACTGGGCAAACACCTGAAATTGAATGTAGACAATGCAGGGTTTTTGCAGGTTAAATAAATTACAATATAGCAAAAAACTATAATGCAAAAATGGAAAAACTGAAATAGAAGGGGTAACTTATGAAAAAGACTTAGGTATTTTTGTTGAAATATTATCTTCTACACAATGTAGGAAAGAAATTAAAAAGTCAAACAAGATGTTAGGCTATATAGTCTTAAGCAGTGGTTCTCAAACTTTTTGGACCAAGTACCACCCCTAAACAAACCAAAGCATCCAAGTACCACCTACAAGTCATCTTCTCATAGGAACCCCAGAAATTCTCAATGACTAACATGAGCGCACGTGTGTGCACACACTAACATACACATATAATAAATATTATAAGCTTTATTTGATATAGCACCTTTAAAGGTGGCTTCTCAAAGCGCTTTACAGAAAAAAAAACAGGAACAACAACAACTAAAAATAAACAATAAAAAGGCATCATTTCAGTGAGAGGGTGAGCCTGTTTAGTTGAGCAAAGCAGAGTTGACTTCATTTTTTGAGCCTTGATACAATTCACAACAGAGTCTAACAGATTTTAAATCGTCAGGCATTTTCTTGACAGCAAAGGTCTTACGGTGGATGCTGCCATGCGTCCATTCATTTCTGGAGCAACCTCTCTAATTTGTGTAGCTACACCCGTGTCGGCTTGTCATATTTCTAGCACCGTCTGTGCAAACTCCAACGCATTTTTTTAAGTTGATGCCATTCTCTTCGATAAATTCATCCAGAAGCTGAAATATGTGCTCTCCTGTAGTTCCTGTTGGTAGCAGCTTACAGAACAGAAAGTCCTCATGGGACGTACCCTTAAACTCCTATCTAACATAAACGAGCAAATTGGCCAAATCAAAGGCATCTAAGGACTCGTCTAATTGCAGTGAAAAGCAGCTGCTCATCTTAACGCGCTCTATCAGTGTACTTTTGATATCATCCGCCATATCAATAATTCTATGAGTGACTGTCTTTCAGAGGGGACAGCAGGTCGAGCTGTTTAGCAGCTTTTTCTCCACAGACAAAACGTGTCGGCTCTTTTGCCAATGGTAAATAAGGTTCTTCAAAAATAGTGTGGGGCTTACCTGCTTTAGCAATCCGCAATTTTGTATTTCTCCCCGTTTCCGTTTCAGGAGTCCATCTCAGAAGTTAAAAGAAGTTTTTATTTCATGCGCATGGGAGAGAAACACAGAGACGCTCTGTGTATTTTTCTCAAATTAACCTAGAACAGTTCTTAAATATTTTTCTGTTATCTATCACGCACGCTCATACGATTGCCAGCGTTCGTAGCACACATTTCTATGCATTACTGTGCTTATAACATTGACACTGTTCCAAAATCACGTACATTCTCCTACCTCCCTATTTGCAGGAGATAGGTTTTTTTAGATACAATTGGTCACTTGCGTTCGTAGCACGCATTTCTATGCTTTCCTGTCCTTACAAGATTGGTGGTGTTCCAAAATCACGCACATTCTCCTACCTCCCTATTTGCTGGAGATAACATTTTTTAAATACAATTGGCCGCTGTCGTTCGTTGCACACATTCCTATAAAATGGCATAGAATTACATTGTAGCTCTGTGTCCACACAGGACACAGGATTTTTCAGTGCACACAACAAAGATCCAGGGTCATATGGCGTACCACAACTGGTATGCGCACCACAGTATGAGAACCACTTGTCTAAAGCAAAAACTTTAAATCAAACAATGTTATAATTATGTTATATAACACTAGTAAAGCTTCATTTAGAATACTGTATACAATTTTGGTCACCATGTTATAGAAAAATAATAAAAACAGTAACATTTTGGGGGTTAAGAGAATAAATGTCCTACACTGACAGACTGAATGAAGTGAATCCTTTAGTCTTTAACAGAAAAGATTATGAGGGGACCTGACACAAGTGTTCAAATTGGCAAAGTAAACTCAATGGACTTCTTCACAATGGACAGTGAAAAAAGAACAAGTAGAAAGTGGAAACTTCAGAGGAGCATATTGAAATTTGGAACACGAGGCACTTCTTTACTTAAGAATAATATAATATTCTTCCCTAGTAAGTCAAAAAATGCTAAATGTGTTGCATTTCATGAAGCTAAAGTGTTGGTTTTCATATATTTAAACTGATCTTGTTAGCCAATGACAAACTTACGATCTTGCACATACAGCACAGTTAGTGTAAATTGAATTTTCCATAATAAGAAATGACATTTTTAATATTGTGGCTCCTGTTATTTGGATTATGCAGACCATTACTGGATTTTTTCCAATACTTTTACGCTTCACGAGGCAAATGCAATTGTGTGCACTTCCAGTACTACGCCCACTACAAAACCTTCACTGGATTAAAAAATATTAACTTAAAAAATAAGCAAAATAGTAATCTTGAACATCTAGAATAAATAAAAATGCATTATTTTCTGGAGAAGAAAACATTTTTTTCGTGATCAGAGAAGATTAAGAGGAAACCTGATACAAGTACTCAAAGGCACTGACAAAGTAACTGTTATTCTGTTGTAAGGTGTAGTTATGATAGTGTTACCATGCCTAGGAGCATTTTCTTATGTTACTGGGATCCAATATGAAATATCAAATTTAAGAAGAATACACGGATCAATCTACAGAAAACATTACACATGAATATGCATGCAGGCTATTCATATTCATTGTGTATGCAACAGAAGAAGTGACTTGGGGCCTCGGGTTTTCCATCTTACTGCAGTGAATTAAAACTGCAGAGCTCTTGCCAAAGTCCCAGGTGGCAAGATCTCCTAAGAACAGTTCATACAGCTGACACATCATAACTGAGAGACAAACTGAAGTACAAAGGATTCTTTACAAAGGTCTACATATTGACAAAAACAATTTTATTCAGAGAAATAAACTGTTAAATAAAAAAGTTGCAAGTTGCAGCACTGCATAGAGTGGGGGAAGTGAGAATGACAGGACACCTCTGACATTGGCCTAATCAACGTATGGGCTGTTCCAACTGCACAACTGTCTAAAAAAACATTAATTAACATGACATTAGGCAGCATTCACGACTGTTTCCAATCAATCTTGTATTTTTTCAAACATCTAAACACAAAGGAAAGATAAACACCTTAATAAAATCAAAGAGACCAAAGATAATGACATTAATCTGTAGTACTGGTAGGCTGCTGCGTCTTCTGTTTTCTATTCCACAACTTTACTTGAATTAGCTATTCAATTAAACTGCTGGACTCATAACTGACAGGTTATGGGTTCAAGTCCTTGCTGCGAACACTGCCGTTATAGCTCGAGCAAGGTACATTACCTCTGTGTGCTCTTGTCCACCAGCTGTAGAGTAGGGACTGGCATTGCTGAGGGTGTCCCTGTGATCTGCTTCCCATTCAGAGCTGAGTACCATGCTCTCAGTCCGATTAACACTATGGTAACCAGTATGAGCTCTTGCCTGATGTGCTGCTGTGCTCTGGTATGGACTTTGGCTTTTAACTTAATTGGTCTATATGACTATATATAGGATTCTATTAATCTGTATCTTTCCTGGTCCTAGAGTACTCTTGTGGCTGCTGATTTGTTTTAACTGGACCCTTTATCACCAGTTTTAACTGCTGTCAGTAGCTGCTTGCTTATGATTTTTTCTCCTGCACTCAGATTTTCCAGTCTGCTTTTGTATGGTACAACATTTTTGTGTACAGGATATACGTTATATGTTAAGGATATACTTTGCTTTTCTTATCCACTATGAAAGTATGCATTCCACAGCCTGACCCAAAAAAAAAAGAATCTGGACATCATAAATAAAACCAAAATTAAATTTTGACAGCAATCACAAAGAATAAACATCCTATGATATTATCAAACCAGGATGGAAAAAAAAATCACTGAAAACTTTTATTAGGGTCCCAGAAAGTCAAAAGCATACAGAATAATAAATGTCAAATCATAGCATCATACTGAATCTACTGCTAGAACATAAACAGTTAGAGCTGGAATCCAGTGCGCCTCCTTACTTTTGAATTTCCTTATTTTGTATTTTGTTCATCTAGAACCAATCACAACCTTCTAGTTATGGCAAAATAACCTTTTTGGATCCAACTAGATTACAAAACAAATCACAAAAACACAGCTACAAGATCAATGAATGTGTAATAAAAAATAGGACAAAATGTCATACAAGCATCTTTAAAAAAGATCAAAAGAACTTATTTGGTAGGTGAAGTTTAAAATAAGAAAGGAGCAGAACAGTATTACTATATGAAAACACACAAACTGTAACCATAACCATAATGACTCCAGACACAAGGAGGCAATTTTCTGGATGTTTGTAGCTAACTAATCCCCTCTAAACATGAGAGTACAGATTCAATACACAGTTCCACTATGTACATACTAAGCAGTTCCCATCTCACTTTTACACTTCGCACTTTCTCCCTGTACTCTCTGTGTAACAACACAATTACACTACAAAATACATGACAAATGAGCATTAATAAAAAAAATGCTGCCACATTACAAATGCCTTTGTGCAGCCAAAATAACAAAATAACTGCACTATACATTAACCAGCCCAGCTCATACTCTCAAAATTGAACTAAAGAACTTAAAAGATTAATTGAAATAACGTACATAACAAATGGTATGAAGTGTTTTGTATTTTTGTATTGAGGGATAAAGCACTGGAGAAAGAAAGTCTACCTGTCTTACAATGGTAAGAGTTATCCACACAGCTCTGAGCCTCAAGCTTGTTACCATGCATTCGAAACCACCTGGGACCTCTTATAAGTATTACAGTGACTCTAGACTATTTTTAGGGACCATACATTCTGCCTGTGACCTACGGCATGGTTCAAAGAAAAAACAAAAACAAGGAAGCAAAAGAAGCTGAACTGTTAGCCCTCCACACACCTCAGGCAGAACTGTGAAGCTAAATTCAACTTACACAGCACACAACATAACGTAATAAGATGGTATTTTCTCAAGTGTATCACCAAGATGAAGAGCATTGCAAGTCACCTTTTTATGTTGACATAAAGCACAGCCTAGAAATTAGTCGAAGAAGAAATCTTCATGAAGTGGCCAACCACTTACTTATCTGAAATATTCTGAGCCGCTTTGTCAAGTTAGGATCTTGGTGCTGCTCATCAGACCTCCATGACATAGCAGGAGAGGCACTTTTGCAATAGACAAAAGTATTTCTTCACAAGTGTTGCCCAAAATCCCTGAAAAGAACATCTAATGATATTCTGTTACTTTAGGTAAGGTCATATTTATGTTTCAAAATGAAGGCATACACACACCAAAGGCAAAGACACTAATGTCCTTAAGGGTCAGGAATGTGTTTACACTGGAAATGTTCTCCTTTTGGCAACAAACATGTTGTGCAGTACAATTACAAGCATAGTGACAGAAGCAGATACAAATATCTCTTTGTAAGACTTAAACCATAATCTTAAAAATGTGAGATTTTTTAAGTTCCATTTAAACTAACTCTGATGTAACACTCTGCATATCATATTTTGCACCCATTACTGATGAGCAAGACATTTGAAAATTATTTTTAATTTTGATTTGATTTTCCTAATCTCAAACTATTTTTTTATTCATAATATTTAGAAATGTGTATTTGTTTTAAATAGTTTTTCTGAAACATTCCTATTGCACAAAACAACCTGAAATGTCCGAGGTCCTACAGATACTGTACACACACACAAACCATATTAAACAAGCTGAGGCTTAGGTCACAAATTCAAATGCCATAACAAAAATCTATTTTCATCCAATTTCATGGCTTTTTTTAGCTAAAGGAAACACGCCTAATCATTCAAATAGGAATGAACCAATTGATTAGAAATATGCAAGGTATAAGGAAATATACAGGTTTCATAACGAGCAAGCTCACGTCAGATCTTAAGTATTTTCAGTCCATAACATATGAACTAAAATGAATATACAAATAATTAACAAAGCTAATGAATTGGGAGTTAATGCTAATTTTTTTTTAAATGCATATCTAGTATTTGTCACAGAAATGGTTCAGACCAAAAGTAAGGTTATCTTTGCATTTACAAATTCACTGTTAAAAATACTGTTTATTAGTGGCTAAAACTAAGATTACAGTCCTTAAGGAAATACGATGAACAGTGTGCTTTTCAAGACGAAAACAAGTACACCGGTGGTATAATTCTCGTATTGCTGAAAACATTTAAATGCCAGAAAAACTCGTACATCACCTCACTTAGCACTTGAATGTAAACCTTATTTCCCCGTTTCAACTAAAAGTGGACACAAAATATATATAGTGTATTACGAGGTGTCAAAGATCTGGTGTTCACCACCCTGCTCAGCACATTTTCAAGTCGTAATTAGCTGCACTCCCACACGATCTTCCTTCCCTCCCTCTCACTCCCGATGACAGCTAACTCTTATACATCCGTTTGAAATGTTCACTTTCATTACAGAAATATCTTTTATCCTTGAGAACAGACAATCAACCCGAGACTCTTACCTCGCCCTCCACCACATCGTGATAGGCAGGAGGAGGGTCAAATCCTCCGCTACCACTCCCACTGCGACCGCTGGTTTCACCGTCCCCGCTGGGCCCAGGCCCGCTCTCCATCGGCTCGTAGCCGTAACCGAGTCCGGGGCTCTCGTTAGTGAGAAGCGCCACTGCTTCGTTAATGTCATTTTTGGCCAAGCGAAGGGCCTTGCGGATAGCGACAGGGTCTGGAAAACCCATGCATAGAAGGGTGGTCATGTGCTGCTCCTCCTCAGTCTCCATGGTTCACTACACTCAGCGCTTCGGTTACTAATATGGGGGTTCACTACACAGACTTCTGGCTGTGCACGCCGCCATATTTACAATCCGAGCTACCCCCTTCCACCCAGTACCGACGGGTTCCCATAAGAGGAAAGAGCGAGCAGACCTGCAGCCTCTCGGCGCTACTCGGGCTCCGTAGATTGCGTCACTGCGTATTACCCTCCTCTTAAGGCCGCATTGTTTCAATGTGAAGCTTGAAGTCTTGAAGTGACTTGATCTCAAAATTTGTGTGTGTTTAGGATGCATTAATTTTGCTTTCTGATGCCAATCCCGGAAAGGGGTAGCTTCGTGAAACATACTATAAAAATGTGCGATTCAGAGCACATTATCAAACATAAATCCTATAAATAAACAAAGTCGTTTTCAGCTAAGTGTACGTTTCCCTCAAAGCTTTATGATTTTTTTCTACTTGTCTGAATTAATATAACTAATTACATTAAATAAATGAAAAATCAAAAGGAAAGTATTAACAAATGGAATATTTGTTTAAAATAAGTTTTTAAGCTTTTAGAAGGTTTTACAAAATGTTTGAACAGTTTAAATGATATTTTTTGCAATATTTTTGTGTTCGGTAACTACAGTAAAAAATCAGTAAAATAGTATCTCAATATGGCAGAGGGAAAGGAAAAGCGCCTGCATAATGCTGATATATAATTTGTGTGGGAAAAGGCGAACCTACTTAAACTGGTCTGTGACTTCACGGGGTAATGGGTAATGGAGGGCTAAGGGCAGAGAGACAATCACGTGATCAGGCCCTTACTCATGTGACTGCGAAGCTTTAGAAAATGGCAGAAAGAGAAAGCGATTCCGGTGTTGTGGATCTTGCCTGTTCATTGCCAATACAGGCAGTGGTGTCCCGGTCCACTTTGGATACTGAACAGTACGGGCGTATTTTGGGATCAGAGCCCGACTCTGAAACTTTAGCAGCTGTACCCAAAAAATCCGGCGCGAACAGTGAGTTAATCGTCAATTTTACAGCTTAATTGTATTGACATTTCTAATAGTTTATGTTAGGAAAATATTTTATTCCGCAGTCGAAAACTATAAAAATCGACCATGTCTGCACTTCTATTAACGCAATAACAGGGGTTGTGAATTCTATTTTAAGAGAAAAATATTTTCTTCATCCTATCAGAAACATAAATCTTCTTTTTCTTGTGTACACAACTCTTAAATAACAAGAACAGTGGTGCATTTTGCTTTAAAGAATGCATACAGGAAACAGTTTTGAATGATGTGTGCCATTTCAGTAAAAAACTAATAAACTTTTATATAGTTATAAATACAATTAATTTTATATATTTTATATAGTGCTTTTAAAGGTGGTTTCTCAAAGTGCTTTACAGAACAACAACAATGGAAAAAGCTACAACATATGCCCAACGAGAATATGCAATGAGAGGAGACAGTAGATGGGGGTACTGAATACAGTAGGAGCAGAGGGGTAAAGAACAGAACGATATAACAGGAGAAGTGCCTATCACCCATAGAGTGTAGAGGGGCTTGGGGAACAGAAAGGAGACCAGAATTAGAAGAGCAATATTTGCAATGTGGAAAGTAGGATGATAGTAGCTCAGACAAGCACTGAGGTGCCAAGCCATGCAGAGCCTTGTATGTGAGCATGAGGGTTTTAAAGTTGATATGAAACTAGACAAGAAAGCCAGTGCATTGACTCCAGGATAAGAGTACTCTTATCCTGGAGTCAATGCACTGGCTTTCTTGTCTAGTTTCATATCGGCTTAAGTATGACTTCTGTCTTGTCACAGTTTAGATGAAGCAAATTTTGAGTCATCCATGTTTCTATATTGGAGATGCAATTACATAGAATAGTGACAGCCACATCAGTGTCAGGTTTAGTATGGATATAGATTTAAGTATCATCAGCATAGAAATGATAGTTGAGGCCATGTGATTTTAAAAACTGTCCCATGTGGAAATATGTAAATGCTGAAAAGCTGGGGGCCCAGTATTGAGTGCTGAGGAATACCAGACTTAACGAGTCCAATTTCGCTTGGTGAATTCAGGTCTGAAACAAAGTAACAGCGATCAGTGAGGTAAGACTTGAACCATTTGAGAACAGTGTTAGAAACTCCAAACAGTCTCAAGATGAGAAAGTAATAGTTGTAGGTCTTTCCTAACGTGTTTATGAAATCCCTTTTAAAATGAATGTTTTGCAGCAAGTGTGCTGAGTTTCTTTCATGACAGAGAGATTCTATGGCTTCCCTGTTATATGTGTACAGATCTGAGTGTGTGAAGATAACCATGATGCACTTCACATCACTTTTTCTAACCACTCTTCCAATTCTGGGTCGCAGTGGCCTGGTGTCTGTTCTGAGAAGTATTAGATGCAATGCAGGATACACCCTGGATAAGAAGCCAGTCCATTGCATGGCATACACTGAGAGACTCACAATGGATAGTTTTTTCAGAGGCCAGTTAACCTACCAGCATGTCTTTGGACTGTGGGAGGAAACCTGGGCACTCAGAGGACACCCATGTGAACATGGGGAGAACAAACAAACTCCACACAGATAGCATCACAGGAATTGAATCCAGGGTACCAATGCTCAAAGCAGCAATCTTATCCAGTGTGCCACCATTCTGCACACGTCTACAGTTGTTAGGACATGTTTCCATTTAATAGAAATGTGTTTATTTAGTAACATGATGCCATTGCAGGCTTTAACGTGATGTGGTGTTCCTTTTGCATAACACTCCTGAATGTTCTGTTTTTTCCACAGATGATGGAAGTGTGGAAACAGCAGAGGAGGCCATTGAACCTGCAGACCCTGATATCAGTGAACTGTGCAGGGATATGTTTGAGAAGATGGCAATTTTTCTGCAAGGAGAGCTTACAGGTTAATGAATGTGTCTGAGGTCACGCAGCTCACATCTAAATGTTATAATGCTGTTAATAGTGGTATAATGGCAAGATGGTAGCATTTGCACAGTACAGTCATCATGCTGGATCATTGATGTGGATTAACAGGGAAATGGATAAGGCTCTCATTGTAAAGCAGTTTGAGCTATCTTTCTGTGTGGAATCAGAGTGTTCTCTATGCTTTAGTTTAATATTTCACCAGATTTACTTCCTGCCTTCAAAGACATGGTTGTCTGATTAATTGGCATTTCTAAATTTTCCTATGTGCTTGTGCTCTGATGTTGTCCTCTATGCACTGTGTGATGTTTAAATAAATTATTTCATAAAACTGTTTTAAAGCAGCATCCCTAAAACTCTTTGCATATATAAACTCTTTAACCCCAGCTTTTCACAATTAAAGATGCATCCAAGCTTTTGGATAAGTTCTGAATCTAGGCCTACAGCCTTATGACACTCCTCACATTTTCATTTTGTCCGCAGGCAAAAATGTTTTTTTTAATCAGAAAATCATACCAGTTACAATTTGTAATGCTTGATTTACTTTTTTACAGCAAATGTTATTTAAATTATTTTTGTTTTTAGCCACCTGCGAAGACTACAAGCTCCTTGAGAATATGAACAAACTCACCAGCTTGAAGTACATGGAGATGAAAGATATATCAATAAACATTAGTCGCAACCTGGAGGACCTGAGCCAGAAATGTGAGTGCTGAGCATAAAGCTTTTTTTGTATGAATGAACAAAACATTATGAATTATTTAAACATAATTAAAACAATTATTGTGCTGGTATCCAAAAACATGGTGAATAAATTAATTGCTTTGGCTGTGGAGCCTTCTCCAGGCTTCATACCCAACACATTTTTTCTTTCAGGTTTTCAGCATGGGATCAGCCTCTGCATAAGCGTGGTACTGCCAATCTTTTTCATCAGCAAAAGATTTTATGCGTCTTTAATGACTGCTTCCCCTTCTCTCTGTCTACGTCTAGATCAAGGTGCACAAGTTTTAAACAGTCCAATTGTTTTGCTCTCATTTCCAATTATTCAGATGCCAGCCTACAGCCATACCTTGATCAGATCAACCAGATTGAGGAGCAGGTGACGGCTTTGGAACAAGCAGCCTACAAACTTGACACCTATTCCAAAAAGCTTGGTGAGAAGCCATTTTTATTTTTAGGTGTTTGTCAAATCCCTGCAGTAGCAAATACAAGCGTTGATTTCCAAAGAAATTTATATTAAGCTCCTACATATAATTCAATGTAATACTGTGTTTCTGTAGAAAACAGCCTGGACTACGTCTGTGTCCCAGTAAGCACACTTGTGGTCTTGCGCTCTCCATATGCGTTTTCTCTCTCAGGTCTGCAAGGACTTTAAGACATCCCTTTTCTAAATTGTTGTTTCACAAGAGTGCACAGGAGAGCCCCCAGTGTTCCATTTATGCACCCTTGTCAAAAGTCTGGATGAGAGCGGACTTCATTGAATTGAATTATCCACAATCCCTCATGGAATGGTGATGTTTAATGTTCTTACCTAGCAAAGTGGAGAGATTGTCATGGAGAATAAAATATTCAATTGTTTGTAAAATTTTAACTTTTTATAGTTTTAAAACTCATATTTTATGTAAAAACAAAATTTCATTATACTACTTTACATTCGGACTGCATGTTTTCTAGGTACAAGTTTTTTACAAAGTTTTTATTTTGTCTGTCCATTTCGACTGATGAATATTCGTTTGCCTGCGGTGAATTTTGTACACAGAATGTTTAATAGTACATAGCTTTGAGGTATTGCCAAGTTTACCTTATTGAGTTTACTGTGAATGAATGCATTATGTTCCTCATACTGTCGTTTTTGTACTGGGACAGAAAATATTAAATGTATTTAGTAGTACAAAGCTTTCAATAAATAGAGCGGTATTGCCAAGTTTTCCTTTGTTTACTTCACCTGTTTTGAGTTGATTCTGCTCAACAGAAATTAACACAATACTGTATGTCACTAAGTTTGTACAGGGATAGACCAGATTAAATTAAATTTCATCAAACTGCGAGCAGAGAAAGAATAATAAAAATAAAATCTCTGCAGACATGCAATTAGCCACTGGAAAAGAAGCACCAGCAACAGAAAACATTTTGACCGTGAGCCATGTAACCAGCTAGTTACCTCAGGCAGGGGTATTCCATTATCCTTTATATAACAATGTGTCCTCGATTACTCACACACTTTAAGCCCACACCTGCTCTACATCATGGAAGTGTGGACTTGTAGGAAGGGCTTAGGATGACAATTGGGACACGGCCTAAGATTTGAAAAATGCATGAGTAAAGCAAAGTTGTTTTTTATTCATCTTTGGAGAATCACTGCTTAACAATCAGAAAATTGTTGGATTTTGAAGGGTTCATTGTTTTATGTAAAGAAAAGTCCAATTTTAAGTTGATTAACTGTTCAATTTATTTTTCTTTAAAGAAGCCAAGTTTAAGAAACTAGAGAAGCGATGAAGTGCTTTTGGACCCAGCAGTGTGGTTTGGAAGGAGCCAGATGGAATGCTTTGCTATGGATTGTTTACCCTTTGATTCTATTCCACATTCCTCCTTGTTCATTACAAGCTAAAGACAATGCTGTGTGAGAAAAAATATTGCAAGGATTACAGAGGTTATTTGATGGAAAGTAAGAGCATATTTCTGACTGTTTTATGACTAATTCTGTTTTGGACTAAAGAGTAAAAAATTGGATCAAGGACACACAATCATGCTTAAGAGAAGTAAGAGGAAGCTACATTGTGTGCTGTAATACTGAAGAATCTAGATCATGCCTGCAGATGAGCTTGAAGACTGCTCTACATAGTTGCATTTACTGTTTTACGAGCACTGCCTCTTGCAGGGATGAAATGGCCAATAAAAACTAAGTATGTATGTCTGTGAAGTCTTTTCTGGGCTTGAGACAAGGAATCTATTGCTAGCATCATTAAGAAGTGGAAGGTGTACATGACAGATCTGGAAAAAGTTATATCTATTAAATAAAGATGCGTTTATATGGAACTCTATATGGAAAACAGTGTAACACTACAACATAAGCTTCCACCAGGTGGTAGTATGTCACTATCTTTGAATTTATCAAAGGTTTTGATTTAGTATAGTCCCATCAGGTGATGAAGTCCTCAAGAAAAAGTAATGTTACTTATTTGACAAGTATGTTCCGACCTGAAGAAAATTCCTAGATGTCTGTCCTAGATGTTTGTGGATATCTGTTTTTTTTGTGTGAAAGTTTTCAAGAAACAATAATAAAACATGCTTTGCCACCACTGAATTTGGTATTATAGAGACAGGCGTAGTTTGAATGGAAGGTCTCTTATTCTGTTGTTTTGTAATGTTTAATGGTGAAATATGGAATTACTGGCATAAAAAAACATCTGTTAACTAACTAGCAAAATCCATATTAAAGAGTTTTTGCTTTGTCTGGGTTTTTATTATATTTGTTTGTGAAATGCCTTGCTGTAGTAGGAATCTGATTTCTGAACTTAGCGATCACTTTTTTTAAATGTAAATGCTCTTTGAGTCATTTTGTATAGATAGTAATTGAAACTTCAGATCCAGTTCTCTATAGGTGAAAATAGGATCTGGGAAAGCCACCTTGCATTTCAGACAATGTGGATGTATTAGTTCAGTTGGGTAACTATGTCAGCATACGTAGGCTGCAAAGGAACAAGTAATAGGTTTACATGCATGCACTTTTTTCTGATGCACTGAAAAACAAATTTAAATGAAACAGCAGGAAGTGTGTTGACAGGCAGGGCTTGCCTGAGGGTGTAACACATCCACATTGGGGAAAAAAGGAAGAAAGAAAACACAATGTTTTGGCCATGGAGCCTTCTTCAGGTGTGAGGATGCCGTTATCCTTTTTTTTCAATGTGGATGTATTACACCCTCAGGCAAGCCCTGCCTGTCAACACACTTCCTGCTGTTCAATTTAAATTAGGTTTTGAGAGCATCAGAAAGAAGTGCATGCTTTAACTCACCTAAAGAACTAGTGTGCAGTGGGTATAGAAAGTCATCATCCCCTTTCAAATTGTGTACCTGTTGTATGACACTCTGAAAATAAAAACAGATAAGTTAGGCTTGTTCCAGTTTTATTTACACACAGTAGCCCACATTAGCCAAGTTAAAATAAAATTCTAAAACATTCTAAAAATGATATTACAACAGAAAAATACCTTATTTGGATAGTGAACACCCCCCTTACAATTTCATTTGTAAACTTGCTCAGGTATAACCAATCACCTTATAGATCACAAAACAAACTAATTGGCTCCCACCTGTGATAAATTGTGATGATTTTGATTAGTTCAGAATAAAAGCGGCTGTTTCTAGGGGGTTCCACTGCTTGGAAGTGCATTTCAAAACAAAGAATTCACTTTGTGGAAAGAAGCTTTCAAAAGTCAGGAGATGGGTATAAAAAGATTTCAAAGGCTTTAAGTGTGCCATGGAGCACAGTCAAGACCATCATTAAGAAGTGGAAGGTGTATGGTACTACCCAGACCTTGCCTAGATCAAGGTCCAAATTGGATGACTGAGCAAGAAGGAGACTGATAAGAGAAACTACCAAGAGGCCAATGGCAACTTTGAACGAGCTACATGCCTTTATGGCAAAGACTAGTCATTGTGTGCATGTAACAACAATATCACAAGTGCTCCAAAAATCTGGCCTGTATGAGAGGGTGGCTAGAAAAAAAAGCCACTCCTTAAAAAAAGATCAAGTCCACATCAAGTCTTGTTTATGTTTTGCTGAAAAGCACCTTTAAAGATTCTGTGGCTTGAAAAATATGATTAATACTAAAATATGATTTAATTAAATGCTGCTCTGATGTGATCTTTCAGCCTTCTCTAAAACAAAGCTTTTTTTAAAAAAATGTAAGAAATATTTTGAATTTATATTATACATGTCATCGTTGATACTCATTCCCATATAAGTAGTTCAGGGATATGGGTAAAACAGCAAGTCTTTTTTACCATGTTGTGCAGGGGTTATAGGACACTCTAGTGGGGATAATCATGTGCCTCATACTGAACACAGTGCATAAATGAAACCATCATGAAAACTGAGCAAGATACACAATACTTAAACCATTATACTGAGTACAAATACAAGAAAACAAGAAAATTAAGCATTTTAAATGTCTCTTACTATAGAAATAAGTTTGCTCAACACTTGGTGGACAACTGTTGTAAACTCCACTTCTCACTCTTTAATGCTGTAAATATAAAGATATTTAGATTCCTTTATTATTTTTTTAATCAGTTGTTTAAGGACATCTATAGTTTCCATTATAGATTCATTATGTCTTCAAATATAGATATGAAATAGTTTAGACTTAATTATAAGGATGAGCAACACCAACATGACTTCAGCTGCATACTCAATATGTTGTGACATTTAGTGTTATTAAACACTAGTCTTAAGTTGCGTCTACTTAAATCAGTTATTTCAGGCAAGGAATGTTATTTTTTCATTATAGTCTTATTTCACAAGATGGCAGCAAAGATAGTGCTTTGCAAAAGAAAAAATATGTCCTATCAGCTTTGTGACCAAGAACTCTCAGCACAAATACACCATTTCTCAGTCTGATTCTTTGCACTTCTAGCCATCCATCATCTCTAAAGCACACCAAAACACATTAATTCAGAGCTTGAAGTATTCACTGAAGAAAACATTCTTTAATCAAGCCAACTGAAAGACATGCTTGGCTCATCTGTCTATAGTTATATTTTAGACTGATTTTTCAAAGAATGTATAAACATTTTCAGAAATGTGATTTTGATTAAGCAGCTATTTTCTTCCACTCAGGGATTTTAGTTTTTAGTCACTTTTTGTGTTTTTAAATCTTGTGATAACTGTAAACTTATGGATATCATTTGATGAATATATTCAACCTCAGTATCAGCCTTCCTTTCCACTGACCTGGGTAGTCAGCAAGTTGGCTGCTGGGTTTTGTTACAAGTGACTTTGCTGATTAGCTGCTCTGTCAATTCCCTTGCTGTTGAAATTAAAGGTCCCAGACATGCTTGAAGGAAAGGGTAAAGGTCAGCAATTACTGCATTTTCAAATGTAAACATTTATTACAAGCAGAACATGGGGCAAGAGACGTTGTGGCTTCATATGGACCATTTGAATTTCCTCTGAATTACATGTAACTGACAGCATATTATAATGCAGCAGGCACACACTGCATCCTTTACTGTCAGTCTTTGGGGAGGGGGTGTGCAGTAGGTGTTTTGGACACACGCTGTTCTTCACTTGAAGAAAAGTAAATAGCGCAGTACACTTTTAAATTACCTTGTACATTTTCCTCATGTGATTACTTTTCTTTCTATTTAGCTTTATTATTATGAAGATGATAATGAGCAGTAGCAGAATAAACAGGAGCAGCTCAGCAGACACTTTTATGCAGGGCATACACTGTACAAAGTTGTTAGATGTAAGTACAGTAAAATAAAAGGACAACAAGGCTAGCGCAATCAAACTAAAAGTGCAATGTAAGTGTCACACTTATCATCTGTTATCATCTAAATCTTGTATGGTACACTCACAAAATATCCACTTCAAATATGATACAAGTCTTCTCAAATTAGCTTTTTATCGCTGTTGTTTTATTCATGCTTTTACATGCTGGAATGAGGATGGTTGCCAACACCCGTGCATTTAGTAAGTAGCAGGACAATGAAAAGTAACATGCAGCATAAAAATACCTGTAAACACTTCACTGAATGTCCTTCCTTTATAGACACTTTCAGCACTGCTCAAGATTCAAAAGGCTTAAATTTTCAGCAAGTTGTAAGCATGGTTTCGTACAATAAATGGTGGTAAAATATTGTGGGCTGAATCAATGATATTAGCAGGATATTCATTCACATTTAAAAACTCCTAAATAAATAGGAGTATCTGAATATCTATAATTCCTAAGGTCTGAGCACACCAACACAAACACAGTATACAGCATAAGGTATATATTTATTTGGCTGACATGTTTATTCAAATTGACTTAGATTTGCACCTACAGTAATGATACAGTATTTTACTTTTATTTTATTCAGGTGAAGTGATGTTGTTCAAGGACACAACACCAGTGTCTTATCTGGGATTTAAACTCAAAACCTTCCAATTACAAGTGTAGAATCTTAACAAAAAATAATTTTAGGGCTACTCCTGTAGATTTTTCAGAACCCTTTCATTCACCATTGTCTTAATTCCTGAAAACAAATTTTGATTTTTGTTGCTTAAGTAATTAATACCATTAAGTAAATAAGTCCTCAAAAATGGAAGGACATAAATAAAACATTAAATAAAAACATACTATAAAAAAAGACAAGTCATAAAACCTTGAAATTCTCCAGGACTACAGTCGGGTAGACCATAGGCTACATTGTTGTATCCTTATCTGAAGCTTGTATATTGTGTAGTACATCATTTAAACTGAACACAGATCATGACCAGATGGTAGAAATGCAAATTAACTAAGTTCAGGACCCAGAACAGGAGGAAACCACAGGAATGTGGGTGTGGAGAATTACCATGTCAGTCATATTGTGGATGCTAACTCTCTGGAAGAGTCATGAAAATCTTAATGAGCATCTGGATTTTAAATCTTTTTAAGCTAAGATATGTTGCTTTGTACAGTGGCTGTCATTCAGTACCAGGGTTAACTTTTTTTCTACCCTTCAGTGAAATTCACTGCGAGATTCCCTCTGTCTAGGCTGTAATGGGGAGTCTGCAGCTCAAATATTACTGTCTGATCCTTCCAGATTTCTGGAAGCTGATTTAGAAAACGTTGTTCTTCTCTCTGCAGTAAAGGCAGGGCTTTCTCATCTCAGTCACTTGGTACTGAGAAAAATCAGTGTGTCAAATCAGTGATTTGGCATTGACCAATCTGACATGGGTTGTGCTTCAGATTTGTTTTGTTTTTTTTGTGTGCGTTTTGGAAAACAATGTATGACAATATGATGTTTTCATAATATGACATTTTTAAATAATGTTGGAGGAGCAAATTTAATATCAGAATCTTTGGCAACTACAGAGATATTCAGATTTTAATTAACTGCTATGCCTCAAACTGTTACAATTGTTTGTTACAGTTTCTTATACATGTATATCAGTACAGAAATCAGTACAGTATTCAGTTTCACCTGGAATACATGTAATAATTATTCCCAATACAAAATCACTGAAGCTTGGTGCTTGAGTAAAATGGGATCATTCTAACATCCCATGTAGATTTTATATGTAAAATTATAAAAAATAAGATAAGTTATTCATTATCACAATGTAACTAGCTCTGTACAATGTGCCATATGGGGATTTGTTCCTTAAAGACATAAGAAAATGGTACTTAATGTCGGAGGGGGAATCTTTTTAAGTGCACAGCATCAACAATAGGGGTGTATTGTAAAAGACGCACTTCAGAATCCCC